TCTCTCTGTCTCAAATAAATAAATAAAATCTTTAAAAAAAAAAAAAAGAAAGAAAATGTATTACAAAGGAACCAGTGCAGGGAAAAAGTTTAAGTGAATCAAAATCACAAACACTGGTATCTTGCTTTATAAGCCAGAATGGGTCAAACCTTTTTGGTTGGTCAAAATGTAATGCATTCCTGTGTACACTTTCTTTTTCTACTGTTGTTCCTAAACAGCCTATTTCAAATTGATTGTATGGTGGCAACTTTTTGTTAATCATGTTTTTTTTTTTTCAGTTAAATTACAATATGGGGAACAGAGAATAAATTTTAACTTGTAATAATAATCCATTTGATTATACATTTTTATGGCTAGCATTAATCGTTCTGCATTAATAAAGCCAATGATCATAAAATACTGTAGAGCCTATTAATTTTTTATTCCAAGAAAGTATTGTTGCCTCAACTTTTAATCCTCTCACTTGTCTTTTGGTTACCAAAGTGAAGGCAGAAATGAAATGAATGCTCCTGTTTTACATTTGTATTTTGTCCAAGTTGTGAAGCCAACAAAAATGCTAGTAGGAGAACCCTGTGAGTGGGCTAACTCCTCACAGGTGAGCTCGGGGGATTCACAGTCAGGTGATTGATTTTTATCTGTCCTGTTTCAAGGAGGAAGATTGAGTTGCCTTACAGAAATACATTGCACAATATGACAAAAAAGTAAATTGGGAAATAGGAACCCAGGGAAAATAAGAGTGGGAAATAATAAGACGACCGTAAAGTTAATGCATGCCATAATGTCGTATGTAGTGGGTAGAAGTGAAGCGCACAGATTTGGCACTTACCTCCAATACCAGGAGGGAAGCATGACCACGTTGTGTCTCATAAAACACCAGTTTGGGGAAGCAATTGTATCAGGTCTGTCAGAGGTAGGGGGGCAGGCACTTACATAAACTTGTTCAGCACATGCCTTTCTTACTAAAGTCTGAGCTCACAGGTGTATCCTCTGCCTAGAAAAGTGTCTGGCACATAGGCCAGGCACGTGGTGAGTTGCGGTGGATCCTGTAGCTCGGCGAGCTCGGTCTGCATCGTCCCCTCCTTCTAGTTGTCTTCTTATCCTGCAGAGGATGTAGGCTGTGGTCCTGGATGCAAAATTGGTTTCACCTTTCAGAAATGCTTCTGAGAGATCCAGAGGGTAAAAGCGTGGAAATCATTTCAACTCTTCCTCCTTTTTTTTCTTTTTATTTTATTTATTTATTTATGATCATTATTATCATTATTGCTGTTTTGTGGTGACATGTGAGGGGTTTTGGCATTTGTGTTCTATTTCCCAGGTACTGAGAGGCAGTTGGGGTTGGGGCACAAGAATAAAGTGTGTGTGGCTACTGGGTATTTACCCCAAAGATACAAAAGTAGGGATCCGAAATGGTAAGTGCACCCCGATGTTTATAGCAGCAATGTCCACAGTAGCCAAACTGTGGAAAGAGCCAAGATGTCCATTGACAGATGAATGGATAAAGAAGATGTGGTATAT